AGGCATTAATTAATTGCGTTCATAGAAGCACTGATACAGTAAACTATAATTTGATCTCTACTCAAAAGTATTGTACCTTATAGGAAAACACATATAGAAAGTGTGTCACAAACCATAATGGGTACTACTGGACAACTAAAAGGCAACCAGACACAGCGGGCATACTCTCATGTGGCTGCGTACATGGGCGTATTGTTTGTAATGCTCAAAACGAGGATACTTTTGTGCACTCTTCCATTTTGTACGAAAAACACAGCAAGCTAAATAGTGAATGTGGTCAGCATGCAAGATACTGGCAGTGGTTGTAGTTTCCAAAGGACATAAAAATGTCTCATGAACTGAAATATATTACAGAAAGAGTGGCTCATAAATATTATGTTTACAGTACACTTACAGTTAATACACTTTCTTTTAATTATTTTTAACAATAACATTTATTTGGATGTTCAATTTTAAATGTCGGCGATACACTTGAACAAATTTAGGTGTGTCTATAGTGAAAAGAAATAACAAGTGAGTATCAATATTACAGTACAATGTCGAGTTATGCATTTACTCAAGATACACAACAACATATGGTTGAGATGCATGGAATATTTTATTACTGTGTACAGTACAAGGTATCAGCAGATTCACAATACGTCTAGCTATCTTGTATGAATATTAATCCAGTGTACAGCATTTTGGCTGAAATATAATGATTAAGAAACAAAATATTGAAGTGAATAATGATTTCCAAAGTCTATTTTGAGTTTCCATTATTACTAATGTAAGTCACAAAAACCCCAGGGGGCATATTCTCTGTCAATGATGATAATTTTGCAGTTTAGATCAGAAAGATTGGTTGGTGGTTTGTACTGAAATCAAATGGCTGGTTCATAGTATATACTTGGCTCCATTATCAGTATGTTGTCTATGACATTATAGCTGCTTTGCAATTATTGATAAATAGAAACTATTACAATTTACATTGACTATCTGATGTAGCTCTGTTGATGGTAATTTCAGTCTGTATGAGTAGCCGCTTACAGTAGCGAAAATACATACTGTTTTTTTATAAACAGTAAAATTTTGTTCGGATTGAACGTTCTTATTTTTTTGCTAATTTCAAGCTCAAAATGTTCTTATTCTGTTCTTATTTTACACATTTTCAAAGACAGAAAATTATTATTGTATAGCAGTATATTACCGTTATGTACTATATTATAAGTTAGCAATGATTACTGAATGTGACTAGATTGATTTGTTGGTTTTTAGTTTATTTATTTATTTTTTTTTCAAACCTTATTGCCTCAGTTTCAATTTGTTAAGTATTTTTTATTTGTTCTTTATTATTATTATTATTATTATTATTATTATTATTTCTTAAGCAACTTCAGCCTCAGTATTCTTATAAAAAACGCATACAATATACATAATAGTTTCTACTAGCATGCCGGTTAATTCAATCAATCTTATGATTAATTAACCACTATAAGCTAATTAAAATTTATTAATTAACTACATAGGCTAATTAATCTTACTAAATAGGGGCTTTTTGTATATAAATTTTGTTAATGTCCAGCATATGACATCAACTTTTACTAATTGAAGTACTGATACTGATATTCAACTAAAAAAAATAATTACTATATCAAAATCATTTTCTTGTGAATAAAATTACATTTGTAATAATTTGTATATTATCAAATTGTTCACATGAAAAAACACTATTAGTATCACTAAATTATTAAAGTATAGTAAAAATCAATAATTCGGTACATACACTACAGTTAGATATAGGTTACATATAAGTTGCCTAGAATTACTGTAGTCCTTTATCATTGAGGAATGTTTATGGAATTTTTTAGATTGACCTCTGTATGACCTCACTGGTGTAAAAACAGGCACTGCTTCTGATCTGATTGAATGATGTTAATGTCAACACATAAACCTCAGTCAGTCATACTGTACTTAAAATATATTTTTTTCTTTCTCATATTTCCCTTTATTAATGCATTAAAAAATACTGTGAATACTACATTCACAAACGACAGATATCAAACTGTTATTTACAGTTTAAAGTTTTATCTGACATTTTTAGGTGCAATTCTGTGATTTTTTTTTTTTTGATAGATTTGCATTATTTTAAGAAGAAAGAATGTTCACCACTAAAGAGCTATGTTAAAGTGTGTACTGTTAGTTTAACATTAAGGCAGAAACACTAGTTAGTAGTTGATAGTACAGGTTTCTGACACCTGTTCATTCTCTCCTATTTCCATGGTCTATTTATACATTATTATTTACATGTTTTTGTTTTTTTAACAGTTAATAAATTAGAATATAAAAATTAATTACTACAACTGAAATTGACACTCCATACTGTAAAGGTCCATTAATGCTTCCTGGTCATTCTATATCGAATCACTCAATTTTAATTTAACATGTTTAACAAATTTTTTCAATAAACTCTTTTAAACAATTTATGTATATGAATGTGATTCAAGATTTAAAAATCAGATTTTTAAATATTTGTTTAAAAATTGGGGATTTTCCCTCCCCCCAAGATTTCAAATATTCTACACCCCAGGTTTTAAATTTTTTTTTCTGAATTGTGTTTATAAGTCAGCTGAGCTTCTCATTCAAATCAGGATACCACAGACATTTGCACGGGGAAACCATGGTATGTAAGGGGAAAATTGGTTGTAAAGTAGGGAGAATGGTTGATGCTAAAGATTGACAGGGTGTCGAATTGGCTGAGACAATGAAAACGAGGCACTCATTTTGAAAGAACATAGGACACCTCAAGAAGTTGATAACGTACACACACCTACAATAAGCCAAAAAAAAAACAATTTCTTTTAGAAAAAATGCATATACATTACTCTAATTATTATAAACTATGGAAAATATTGGCATAAATTTTAGTTTCACTCAAAAGAATTAAAAAAATGAGAAATGCAGACTATTTCTCATAGGAGCTTACCAATTTCTAGACGAATTCTTCATTACTAGATAAATTCTGAGGTTGCAGATTGCATCCGCTAGAATGCTCGAGTCTCAATTTTATATGTACAGGTACTTTATACAGTCAATAAAGTGCGCCTTCTCTAATGAGATTAGTTTTTGTACTTCGCGTCTCGCAAACTGCGGTCGATCGAGTATGGCTGAGATATGTTTAAGTGTCCAAACCTTGGTCAGATTCATTTTTTTTTAACAAATTTGAAATCTTATGAAATATTATATTCAATACTAGCAACAGAAAATATCATGCCAGCCGTTTTTATGTGTAATAACAGAACCTAAATCGAGGTAAGGCTAGGCTAGGACCTAGCAGTTTTGGATAGGCTAAGGTTTCCAGCGCCTACTATATTTCTTCACAGACCTATCACAAAATCAAACATAAAAAATTAATCCGAATTTCTTTTTTGTGTGGAACACAAAAAATCAAATTTCAGTCTTATTTTACATATTTTTCATGCTTAGGAATGTCTAAATTCAGTTAAACTAGCAATTTCGTATTATATTTATTTTCTTAACAACTGAAATTTTGTCGGAATGGAGCTTTAACTCAATCAGAACAGCTGTTTTGTGGGACCATAGCAACAATACTCAAAGGGCAGGGCTTAGGGAAAGGTCCATTTAGTGAGAGATAACTAAAACCGAACCGTTTTTTAATCAAACCCAGTGGGTTCATTCTCATCACTAATATCCAGAATGAGCAAATGGCTGCACATGCTACTTTACATCTGAAAAACTCTAATACCCTATTCAGACTACACTCTGTTGCGATTGGTTGCGATGTAATCGGTAGTAATCCAAAACTGATTACTCCCGATCGCAATCAACGAACGCATTCAGACCAACACAAACAAACTTTAAATTCTAGGCCTAGACCTCCAGTGGCTAGGCCTATGTTGACTGCCCACAGCCAAACAGTGCCTGTGGGATTCGTTGTGATTCGTTGCGATCGGATTCCGTGGTAATCGGGAGTAATAAAGATTGTAGCACCCAATCGCAACGGGTAACAATTGCGATATCGATTACATATTTACTATTGGTGAGCTTTCACACACGATTTTACTTTGCAATTGGGTGCCGCATTTGCTACAACCGATCGCAATGCGATGCTAGTCTGAATGGGGTATAAGTCAACAAAATATGTTTAATATTAAAAACACAGTGTCACTGCCAGATTTGTTTTTTGTACTCAGTCATTTAGCACACACATTATAATTATTATTATTTAGGAAGGAAACAATATTCCTTTCCCTGTTCAGCCCTTCTCAAGCTGGTGTCTCCGGGGTGTCCCTTCCCGTAACTATCTTTCATGGGCAAAGCTCAATACAGATAGTTAACTAAATAAGAACAATAGGCCTTACTTTACTTAATTACACACTGTGATTTTTTTTAAACAACAGTCACACAACAAAATAAAAAAGAAATCTGTTAATGATGCCCAATCCAAAACAATAGTTTCTTATTAAAAACAAAATATACTTCCCCTCCCTGATTCCCTGCAATCGCCACTAACTTACTCTGTCTATCTTAGCCAGCCCAAGGGTTGAAACTGATGCCTTTTGGCTTTCCAAAATTCAATAGCAATTGAATTGGCCAATTAATTATTAATACAAAACAAATACAATACAAATCACATTTAATTGAATTCCTATCTATGACGATTCCGAATATCTTCTGTAAATTATTAAAATGAAACATTGCGAAGATGATGAAACCCTACCAAAATTTTTCCCAAGTACGATGATACTATATTCGGCAGTTATCATAACTGAAAATCATCTGTACTGCCTGCCATGGTAGTACTACTACTACCGTCTGACCAGACAGTTCCTTCCAGGGACAAAACCCACGCCAGGCGGCGTGGAGAAGACACGTCTTGTGTACACACAACAGAATTGTATGGCGCGATCAGCTGGCTTTTAATCGCTTATTTATAACATTTCCTTCTATCTAATTCACTTGAAAATGAATATACATATAAAATACATTTCATTACTTACCTTCATGTGGTCATCCTGTGGATCGTCAGGCAGATGACGGTATAAATTCATGGTTTTTACAAGGGAGATCCCATGTAGGCCTCAACCCACGAACCTAAAGTAAATCCACACTGCGATAGTTCCTTTCTCTATGCTGCATGCAGAGCGCGCGACAGCGACTGGCCTTTAAAATTATTCTGTCAATCAAGTGTTTGAGGTGGGACTTGGTGACTGCTGTGTTTGATTTAAAGAAAGTGGATTTTTATGTTCTCCAAAGTGATTGGCAGTATATCCCACTTTTGCGTGTACTGTAATACATTCTCGCTCGTTTTCTTTTAACATACATGTGCATTAATTTAATAATAATAATAATAATAGCCTATGTATTTTGCGCTTTACAAATCCAAATTATTATTATTATTATTATTATTATTATTATTATTATTATTATTATTATTATTATTATTATTATTATTATTATTATTATTATTATTATTATTATTATTAATAATAATAATAATAATAATAATAATAATAATAATAATAATAATAATAATAATAAGAAACGGATTTTGAAAGAATAGTACCGTACTGTATACTACAGTCTAACTAGTATCAGTAACCTCAGCAAGCAATTAGTGGCAAGTCAATGAGTCCGAATTTGTTATCAATATGCTGCTTAACCTTATTCTTATATATAAAGTAAATAAGTATACAATGATTATTATCTGTCGCTACAAGACCGTGTGATAAGTCTTCTGCAATAAAAAGGAAATTGTACCACATAAATACTGATTGATTTACATGAGTAAGGCCTAACATAATTGATTGCCTTCGTTTATTTTTAATATTGTACTGTACTAATATTATAAGCAATCGCTAACTTAAGAAAAGTTTGGAAAGGCAATAAAGTTTTGATATACACCACCATACCACAAAACACTTATATACAGTGAGAACGATTCTCGGTTTTACAAACCGCAGCATTTACGTTTGCGGTAAAATAGTCGTTGAATATTGTACTTGTAATACTACTGCATTCTTTCGTAGATAAAAATATAAACAAGTTGTCTTTTCAAATGTCAAATTATTAGGAAATTTTCTCGCCAACTATCTACGTTTATATACCAT